TCAATACACTGCTACAGCCTTACTTTGTCTCCTGTGAGTGCTGAGTCTATTAAACAAAACTGCATTTTAGCTTTTAGCATAATCCCACTTTCCTTGTTGCAACAGGTGCCAATGTTCAGCAAAAGTTACATGGGATCAGTTTAACAAAATCCCAAACGATAAATCAAATTTACATAATGCCGAATGAAACTGCAGTGACATAAACGTGCCCAGTTTATGTCAGCAAAGGAGGAAAAACACCAATATGTGTGCACAAAGTACTAGTAAAAAAAACATGCACACACAAAACAAAATATATGTATGATTCTTTGTCCAAAATCAAAAGAAAACTGCATGAAAACTGCATTGATGAATACAAATTACTCATTTGTGTGCATGTGTATAAAAAAGGTTTTGTAGAAATCAAAGTGGGAACAGTGACTTTGTTCTTGACCGAACAATCCGCCCGAAGTCCAAACTGACATTTGACCTTTAACACACACACACACACACACACACACCAGCACACATGTATATGCATCACACTGTATATGAATCAGTCCACAACGAGGTGAGTTGGGGTGATGGTGTTTAAAAAATGTCAAGCCGACAGTCAGTGATACGGTTGAATTGGTGTTTCTGAGATGGAGACTGGGGCGGAGGAGGGTGATGAAACAATGACTGCCTCTGCAGCTCAGTCCTCCAGTTAATACTGACACTGAATAGTACCTCCAGCAACAAGCTGTGTCCTTGTACCACTATAACTTTTTAATGAGAGCGGCTGCTCCCAACAGAGCTCATTGGTCCAACCTTGGGCCGACTGCCTCCACAACATTTTCCATGGCATTTTAGTTTTTGAAAAGGGCAGTACAGTTTGAATAACAGCATGAAGTTGATTGAAACAATCTTCATAATCGAAACTAAATAGTTTCCCGATGGCTTACTGATAGTTTGGGACCATGGTGTTACAATGGTACTAAAACTTAAATATAACTCACACATAGCAGCATTGATAAGTGTCATTGTTGCTCTTCCTGTGTTTCCTGTCACATTACAATATCCTTCAATCAAATAAAAGCAAAAAATGTCAAAAATGCACATGCATCTGCATTAGTAGAACAGCCAATAGGAGCGCTCTCTCTCTCTCCGAAAAGACCTGTGATTGGCCAAAGTCTCCGGTCACATGCTTGATTTCCTGAAAACAGAGCCAAGAGGAGGTGCACACGTCTGGTTTACTCTCAGACCACTTCAAATGCAATATGCTGACGGGTGATTTCTGCCCATTGACACCAAAACAATTATTGCCTCACTTGGCTTTAATGTAGAAGAAATCAGACCAGTTTGAGTATTCTAGTATTCTTTAGTTCAGATACTGTATCACCATACAACAATAAAAGCGATCAATAACAGTACATACAAGGAGTTAAATCCAGAGACAACCAGCATATCACTCTGTCACTCTAACCACTGATAGCTTTTTATCCTCTTGCCTTGACTCCTTTCTTTTTCTCTCACGCAGCCATTGATTTTTCCACACTCTTGCTCTTTCCCTCCCTCCCTCTGCAACCCTGTTGTTTGCCTCCTCATGGGATCTCTTCATCTCCTCTCCTGCTGCTCCATCCTTCATGTCTCTCTCCTCTGTCTTTGACAGAGACAGAAACTTTATTTCTCTTCCTCTGCCACCCAGGGACACGGACCACAGTCCGCTGTCAGGTTGCTCGCTCCCCGAGCCTATCTGCAGCTGAACACTGGAATGAGTTCAGCTACGTACTGAGGAACTCGGAGCAAAAGGCTGATTTTCAACCTTCTTATTCAGTCTTGACAAGATTATGTGTCTTAAATCAGATAGAGATACCAATCTGTGTCCAAAAACAGGGTCCTCCATCAAACTATCTCGACATGAGTCAACAATTTGTGTGATAACATGCAAACAATCATTACCTGCTTGCATATAGAGAGCTCATTAGGGAAATCGAAAGCAAAAGACAAAATAATTTACAGTAAAGAAACCAAACGTACATACTTCTAGATGCATGCCAGGAATGTGACATGTAGTGACTCTGATATCCTCCTTCAAAATCATTTTACTGTTGCTGTAGCAGGCTGAGATTCTTTGAGCACAAGAGGCATGAACGTCTCTAAAACACCACACACTCAACATTATGTGAAAACTAAAAAGCATTCAGGGAGGAATTGTCTCCATCAAGGCCACTCAGCCCACAAAACACAGATGATAGAAAATGTTGATAAATGATTAATCTGCAAGTGAAGATGGATCTGCATCTGACTGTAGGCTATTAAGTGACAAACAAACCTTAGCTGGATGATGGATATGACTTTAAAAAAAATACCTAAAATCCTGTCATTTATGTCAAATCTCACTGTCCACAAATGTAAGCGACCAAGTGGGAAAACTGTTCATGTCCTCATCCTTTTGTAAGTCTAGATCCAAGATATCAGGAATTTTTTGTACATGTGTTGTCAGCAAATCGGTGGCAAAACTGGATGCAGCTATAACTAAAACATATTAACACTGACACAATCTATTTAGCTAATGAAAAAACCTGGTTTCAGACCACTAGAAATATGTAATTTGCAAAAAAATGTCTCTTTCAGGTTTCATTTCCCTTTATCTGGTGTAACTCAAAGGCAATTATGTGTTACCACTACAAACTTGGAGGTTTTCCCATGCTTTTCATTCTTCTGAATAATTCAATATTCAAAATGAGCCATGACGTCTGAGTAATGGAAATTCAAATTTACCACGTTGCTTTTGCATGGGTGAAATGCACTCAAATTCTGCAGGGTCACCTGGAGTAAAAACAGAATGTAAAACGAAATTTGTCACAACTGCGCATGTTTAAGACATAAAGCAGTTCACAAACAAGAATGTGGAATTGCACATTGTATATATGTGCACACATATATATGTATACATACAAACTATATAATTGTGCCAAAATGAAACTTGTTAATTTAACCACTTAAGCTATGACTAACAGCACTCGCATTTACTGCAGGGTTCAGGAATTACAAGTCAAAACATTAAGTGCATTGAAAATAACCACATGCTGGCACCACCTGCAACAAATCTAATTACATCTTCTTTGGCCCATGGGCTCACTTTTCATTGAATAACTGAAAGGAGCTCTTTGTAAGTTTTGCTATTGCTGCATGGCCAGCATTAGCATGAACAGCTGTTTACTTACCAGTCTTGGCAAGAGCTTCAGCCATCGTTTTGTTTATAGTACAAGAGGTTAAAATACATCCTCTGAGCAGCGCTACTTCTTCAGGGCAGGCTGGACACTACAGTGACTCAGTATCAGTGAATAACGAGACAGTCCAACCAGACCAAGGCTAGCTGGTTAGCATGCTAACTTCAGTAGAAGAAAATAAGTGAGAGAAATAGAACCAAAACAAGAGAGTTGCTTTCTACCTCTGGAGACAGCTCTTGTTGAGTAAAGGCATTAAGTATGATGCTGAACTCATGTTTGTTCTAGACTGGTAAGTAAACATCTGTTAATGCTAATGCTGGCTGTAGCAAAACTTACAAATAGCTCCTTTTTGGGATATCCTGCGAACAGACAGACAAGCCTACCTGAATAATCATGTTCCAAACAAATCCACAGCAAACACCAATGATGTTCAGATACAAATTATAGTCCTGTTAAAACATAAATATTAGAAATGATGGGATCACATGTCTGTAGCGTAAAGCTCACCAGCTCTAACTGCTAATGTACAGTAGGTCTGATCGAATGTGCCTGCAGCCTGTTGAGTGAGTGAAAGGGTAAAGCTGGGTTAAGGCCTTGAGGAACCTGCTACAGCGCTGCCTACTCAGCACAAAGCCTCTCTCCCTGTCTCAGTCTCTTTGTAGAGAGGCTGATCAAAGAGTGGGGCGCGCTCAGAGGATTCACCACGTCAGGGAGCTTCTGAGCAGATCAGCACGGACACCCCATTATGTTTCCCAGTGGGGTACACTGAGGGATGTTAGAGTGCACACACACACCAGTGTGCCTGCGTGTGAGCCACTGTGAATGAACATATAAGTGTCAGCTCACACAAGCAGCTGCACTTGGGTGCTGAATGTTCAATTCTGTGCATGTTTGAAAATACATTTCTGAAGCATCTTAGTGTGCTAACGGTCTGCAGCTTTGACTGGTAATGAGGAAGATAGGGCCGAACTGAGCAGCACTGCCTGTTATTTCAGATGAGAATCACAGGATCAAAGGCTTTTTCTCTGCTCATCGTTACTTCTCCTTTTCTGCCTGTGTGTCTCTGCTTAACCTCAGGCATCCTTGGCTCACCTCTGCCCCTTCCACACCCCTCTGAAAATGCAGAGAATCTGTCAAAGGCTCTTAAACTCTTAAACTTTCCACGTCCTCTGCAGCAGAATGGAGTTGTGTACTATTACTGAAACAAGAAGCCTGGGTTCAAGCTCTCATCTTAAAATAAAATATGAGGAATCCCAACTAGCTGCAGGGGTGCTCATACATGACCTCAGACCTCCCTGCTGACACGGGATAAAGCTAAAAAAATTAGCATACCAACATGCCATGTGCACACACACACACACTGGATCTGATGTATGGGTTTAATTTCGACTTCACTCCCTTTTCTCCACATGTGTGCCTGCTAATAAGGCAAGAAGAAGATATTTTGATCAAAAACAATTCTTCAATCAATATTCTAGCAAATTCTGCAAGAGTCTGTCTATTCTGAACAGTTTTCTGTAGCTACCAGAGTTTTTATGCTCCTCTACAATAAATTTGCTTAACAGGAAATTAGATAAGAATCTTTGGGCCTTCTACCAAGAAACTTGGCTTTACTTTAGGATTTGGGGAAATTCCTCAATGAGTCACTTGCAGTGGCTTTTAATCCTATTTTAAGACTGTGTAAATCACTCCTCTCACCATGTGCCAAGGTACCACACAAACAAGTTATTTGTGTAATTGCATGTGCGAATGTGTGCACTGGAGTGTGAGAACACAAAGGTCTAATATATATTATTTGTCACTTACCTCATTCTTTGATTCCTGTATCTGCAGCTGGGAAGTGTATGCGAAGGTATTCTCTGGAGCGACAGTCGGCCTACAGAAGAGGAAAGGAAGAGGAGAGGAAGAAGAAAGGACGAGGGAAAGAGAGAGACAGACAGTAAAAGTCACAGAGAGAAAAAAGGGAGAAAAAGAGGGAGAGATTCCACATTTAACAAGTTGTCACAAACAGTTTGCAGTTGCTCAGCTGCTGTCAGAGGTGAGCAGGAACGCCCTTACACACCTAACAAGCTCCTCTGAACTTTGAAATGAAAATTAAGTCCCTCGATGCTGAAGTTACACAGAATAAACTGAGCTCTTGTGGTTGGTGCCAAATCTGACAAACAACATAAATCATTATCTGTGAGGTGTTTGTGCACATGTCTCTTAAGCAGCATTTCCATCTTAACATCATTAGGATATTACAGCACCCATACTCAGGTCATTTAAATATTCTTTGTTGTGATCTCCTCTTAAGACTCACAAAAATCTACCATTTATTTATCACAGTGCTGCTGTGGGTTACTCTCACTAAATAGTCATAACAAATCAAAACTCATGCTGTGAAGACGAGGCTCCACAAAGGCAACATGAAATGAAGACTGGGATGGTAAACCCCCTGCTGTCAGGGAGAGTACTCATGAATGAACCCTTCACCTGTTAATTTGGTGCTTATGATCCAATCAGCTGTCATTTCAAGAAGTTGCTACAACTTTGGTTTGTATCATCATTCATGGACTATGGGACTGGGACTGTGTCAAAGGCTAAGGATATTAGTGGGGTTCCTCAAGGCTCAATATTAGGGCCTCTCTTATTCTTTACAGATTAATTACATGGCAGCTGCAGCAGTGTTATGATTTAGAAAGTTTTTCAGGATCCAAAAGGATCAAAGGAGGTGTGAACTGCTGAAAGATGCAAGCAGACAAAAGCTAAACTGGGTTCAAAAGACAACACGAGTATTCAGGCGAGAAAAACTACAAGTTGGCTGAAGAGTTGTATCACGTAGATGAACTGAGCAATCTGCTGAAGACTGGAGGGAAGGGTTTGGGTCGAAAAGTCTTTTTTACTTAGGAAGGTTCCCAACTCAGTGAAATGACCTGGAAGTATTTCAGCGGCAGCCATGATAAGAGCTGGTTATATTCTCTCAGTGACAAGGAAAGGAGCTTCAATACTTCCTATCTTATCTCCTTTAGCAAAGGAAACACTGGACTTTCCTTTATGAAAGGAAAGGATAAAATGCTGTCCCATAATTCCTTGCAGCTGCAACATTTAAAGCAACGCACCATTGAATTTTCACATCGTCAGACCCATGCACATGTAGAAACAACAGAGCAGCTGTTTTATGTTTGTGACACAATCATGGAAATCCTTGTTTGATCGACTGAAGCCGAAAACCATAAATAGATCTCTTCTCTTTCAAATTTGTCCAGTTAGGAGTCATCATGAAAAACAAATACATTGAATTTCTAGTTAACAATATGATCATCATAACAAAATATTATAGCCTAAACATAAATGTCATTTCACTAAATCCCCTCCCATTGAGGAATTCACTAAAAATTTATTTTCTCTATAACAATTGCATAGAAATGTATATGTAAATGTATGAATAAACTTTACACTTATGTCTGAATATAATTTCTTCAGATTTCTTGCTAAGTCCCTTATTTCTATTTAATTATTATTTTACTGACACAGCTTTCTATATTTGTATATTTCTTTCATGTCATCTTATTTTAAAATTTCATTCCTGTTTGCTCAGTTTTTGTGGTTAGGGAAGGAGGATTTATCTTCCAAGTTAGTTAAAAAAAAAAAGAAGCTTAGTGTAAATGCAGTCGGATTCTCTCCGCACTGCAATTGCCTTTACCTAAGTCCTTATGAATTCTCCTTCACATCTTTCCTTGACCTCATGACATTTTCCATCGAGGTTGAGGAGAAGTGGTTAAAAAGGAGATTATTTTGACTTTTTGACCGCAGCCTGGGTTTAAATACTACAGGTGCTTGTTGAGTTAATGAGGTGATGAGTAGCATGTGCACAAGTGGATTGGTGGGGGAAGGGACCGGAGGGCCATGCCCAGGCAGACACATATGTAACACAAGGCAAGAAAGGGGAGCAGAAACACTATGGGAGAGACACAGAGATACCATAACAAGCAGGGCTTTTTCTGGTCATTTTGATGCCCTATAGGCCACCGCACACCCACCGCTGCCAAATAATTTAATCACATTTTAGTTTATTTCAAGTTAATTTAGCTTCAACCTCAACCTCTGTTCCATGTCCTATCATCATCATATTAGTGCCTTTACATGCACATTACTCCCTGTTATCTCTTATCCTGATTTTAATAATGTCTGGGATGGGATATGGAACAAAAGCAACCTGGATTTTCATACTCTAATATTAAGTTTCTGATCATGTGTGCAGGTGTGTCATTTTACTCACACACCAACTCTCTGTCATTTCTGTCCTGAAGTGCAGGTATTTTCTTTTATTTATACTTATTTATAGTTATAAATGTCCTGGTCGCATTTTATTATCCAATATATTGTGGAGTTCTATTTAAATTACACAGCTTCCAGTGCATATTTAGCATGCATTAGGCCCGCATTAAAATTACTCAAGCAACTTGGATGTTTGACAGCTTAATAGCTCTGCATTAAGAAAATATAACCCATATCACCCACAGCTTTTCTTTGATGGCTTCCTATAATATTTTGTAAAGTGTCCTTTAGTGCTTTGTATCCTATTCATGGAGTTACCAATACTCAGGAACCAGTCATTCCAGAAACTCAATCTTACTTGCAACTAAGAAGAAGCTGCAAAGGACAAACAGATAAAAAATTGTGTCACAGAACTGAAGCTGTATCCCACACATCTATCACATATACAAGACCTGTCACCTGTTGTAAATCTGTTGCCGAAGTGGGGTTTCCACATATTTCGACTCTCATTATTAACAAAATGCGACATTTTTGACTGTCAGCAGTGGTTGTCTCATGTGGACGTTTTCAACAGTCATTCCATGATTTTGCTTTCCACCAACTGGCTCCTCCAGCTGGTGGCGCCCTAGGCAACAGCCCTGAACCGCAGTTACAGGCGAGCTTCTGGTGAATGGGTTCTGTTACTGGTTTCTGGGAAAGATATCGGTTAGAATGAGATCACTGCAGAATTAGGATGTGGGAGAGAATGGCTCGTAGCTAATTAGCTTTCAGTGCATTTGGGTATAGCTAAGTCATTCATATTTGCAACTAAGAGGATGTTGCAAGAGACATTAACATTAGAATCTGTGTGTTACAGAACTGAAATTGTATCTCAGTCATCTGCTGCACATTCAGGAATAACAGGATTTTCTAAGAGTGCCAGTAAACCATTCCATTTCAATTTCAAGTAAGAACCATCCTTTATTTTGATTATGCCCATTCCACTTGATATGATCGTTTGACCATTTAAATTTAGGAACAAGTTGCAGGTAATGCAAAATTACTGAAAGCATCTTCTCAAACTCATGCTGGTTGTGATGATGATGAAGTGCTGCCTGTACGGCTCAGGGTAGAACAAGAGAAGCTGCAACATATGTACATCATCATCACTGGGTATATCCTTGACTGTCTGCATTCACAGACAGCATGCCTTAAGTGTGTGTTTGTGTACAGTGCCTTGACTAAATTCTGTAGTCAGATGATCAGAGTTCTCACTTCGACAAATATCCCTTGGATCTGTGTGTTTTGAAGAGCCATAAATCAATCAGTCAATCAAATCTCTGCAAACTGGAGGAATGAGACACGCTGCTGCTATTAAAGGTCATTATGAAAAAAACTTGAAGAAATAAGGCCCAGTCTGATTATTTCTGCCACCAGCTTTTGATCAATGCTTTGATTCAGTGAAGCTGTTTGAGTTCATAAACCTGGTCTCCACTGATCAAACTGTTCTGCTGCTGCACAGTCATTTGATACCAGTTATGCAATTTAGATGTGAATTGCTGGCAAGGACCCATGTGTTTGTGTGTGTGTGTGTGTGTGTGTGTGTGTGTCTGTGTGAAGAGTATGTGTGCGAATGTCTGCACACATCTCCATGACAGTATTTGTGTTATGAGAGAGCAACACTTCACAATGAAGCTAGCTGCTATGTCAGATAGAATAAATATGAATCAAAACTCTCACATGCACATATACACACACACACACACCTTCATGTATAAGGTGAAGCCTACTTTAAAGTATGACGTCGGTGCTTTTTTAAGCTTGAGATACTAACTTAAGCACCAGCTCATCTCTGTCTGGGAATGTTGAATCGTGGTCATTACGCTGCATATTTCTTGCAAGCTTCTGATTTAAAGTGCCTGTGGGGATCTGAATTAGCGTGGCAAACCATGTTAAAACTGCAGTGGCCAACAACCTAACCTGCTGTAGTGTTTTCTGTCTGTGCTCAGATCGCTGCTCCCTCCCCGGTGGGTAAAAATACTTCAAGTTGAGAGAGGAGAGGAAGATCCAGGCAGAAGCTACAGCTGGAGAAATGTTGAAAACCTCAAAACAGAACAGAACAGCAGGTTTGAGACTCCTCATTTACATAGTGCCATAAAGAAAAAAGTCCCCAATGCTGCTTGAGCTGTGCTTACATGCAGACACACACACGCACGCACGCACGCACGCACACACACGCACACACACACACACAAAGAGAGCAGATACAACAACAGTAACACGGGGCCATCCATCTCGTCATTAGGCCGCCCGGATGGATTACCATGACATTTTGTGCAGACATTCATGTTCCAATCAGAACTGTAATAAACTTGATGATCCCTTAAGTTCTCATTTACAATCATCAGGTAAAATTTTTAATTTGTCTTTGGTTTATGACCAAATAGTAAAAATACTACAAACTACCGCCATATAAACATCAGCTGTACTTTGCGTTTACTACTAATTAGCGAATCCTAGCATGCTAAATCATGACTCTTGTGTCTCTAAAGCTTCACTCTGAAATTTTATCCCCTTCCTGGACGGTGTGTCAATCATAGAGGGAGATGGGAGACTCACGACAGACTACTATGACCT